AGACCTTCTCGAGAAGTACCTTGGTAAGATTGAAGAGTCCGACACCGAACCCGAATACGCAGATCAATAAACATTTGTGCTGTTCAAAGTCATTTCCTAAACTTCATCGCAATGTCGCGAAACCTGTAATCTTTGAAGTTTCAGTGTTTGATCAAGCGAGGTTGACTTGCGGGTAATTCGCCTTCCCAGTGCTGACGGGTAGATTAAACGTGCCGTGAAAATCATTAAGGTGGCGTTGAATTAAATTGACTTTCTTCAGAATTTAGATGGTCAGTGGGTCGGTGGGTAAGTTAAAGTTACCCATGGGTTGGGTCGTGAAATTACCCACGGGCAGTTCTGGAGTGGTGGGTTGACCCATTCCGTGGGTTACCCACGACCCACCGACCCATGCAGGGCCTGCAGCTCAGGCAAAACCAGAGACACAAGTGCAACATCAATGTGTCAATCTTTTCAAGTTGAAAGGAGAGTTCTTTCAGTACCGCAAACAGAACCAGCTAACTAAAATCTCAATAACCGTTGAAGCACATCACGTTTTGCTTCCAATTAAATCGTCAGCGCCGAAATCTTAAGTAATATGAGCTACCTAGATGCATCATTTAGTGCTTGCTTTTCTTACACACAATATCTAAGCACTTCGATAATGGTAGTATATATACGTTCTTGAAACGCTATGTAAGACATAAAATTTAGCCCAGAATAACCATGAAATAAAAAAATCAAAATTCACATCCCAATAATTACGGCCAGTAGAATGATATGTCTGCTGAAAATTACTGTCTTTTGTTAAGGGTTCGTCGCTCGCTTTTGCGTGAAAACTGCTCCAGGCTCTGGCGCTACCGCTGAGGATTGGTGATCCGCGGGGTCAGAAAGCACTCGCAAGGCGACGTTCGAGCATTTGCACTCCAATATTAAAATTCAAATGGTGTCGTTTGAGGTTTTCGCCCATGGGCACGACGGGCAATATCAATGAATAAATTCCCTTATCACGACGAGAACCCTATGTGGTAGGGCAATCTCAGGTCACTAAAACAGCTTATGCTCGTTGTTGACAAATTGAGCGATCCTGTAAAAGTACGGTCTTATGCTTGTTGTTGACAAGCAGAACCGTTTTTGTAATTTCAAAGGCGGGACATGGTAACCATAGTCGCCGTAAAAGGGGCACGGAGTGTGGACCATATGTAACGCCTCTTCCTGAGCAGATGGCTTGATCGTATGTATCTCGGTTAGGGCAAAGATGACGCGTCAGGACTTAGTCAGTTGCAACAATGTTTTCATCAGAAATACCTCGGCTTCTCAGGGACTCACTGAGCCATGAAAGCACGTTAGAGAGAAAGCTCTCGATGCAGAGCAGGCGCTGTAAGATGCCAGCGAAAAAAGAGAAACTACCAACGCAGTGGGTATTCAATTTTGCGCATTGTCTAATCCAGACAATTTAAGCTCTCGTTTCCGTTTCTGGGTGAACTCTTCTCCGTGTGTTTAGCAAGGCGGACTCGTTTAGTCGAAGTTTCCTTTTGCAAGCTGCATGCGCAAGACCTATGATCGTCAGATTTAAAAAAGTGGAAACTCTAGCCAAAGATTGTATCAAAGTGCTGATCTGACATTCGTTTAAAAGTTACACGACTGTCAGATATCAAACGGGAACACGATTAATAACGTGATGTGAAACCACCTGATATTTAAAGGGCATCTATCATCAAGCCACACAAGTATCGTTAAGGTGAGATCTGCCTGTGAGACAGCAGTCAACACCAGCGCGGCGTTCAAGTCATTGCATAGTGCATCTGCGATAAATTATGATTGTTAGGTCTATTGCAACTGCTATAATGTATATCTATTCGTAGAAGACATACTTCAAAGAAATTTCCTTTATGAGACAGCAATGCAACGAATTCAAGAACATTTTACTTTGCTAAACGGCTAAGCAAAATGCGACGCATATTTGCGCAGATACTATTTGCAGCACCTCGTGTGGCGCTTAATCGAACGTTGTCTAATGCAGCTCATAACAGCAGTCTGGATGGAATTTACGTGAGTAAAAAGGCACTCAAGACGACTCTAGCGTTGGGTGCGGTGCTTACAGGCGGGCTATTGTATTTGGTATGGTTTGTATGATATGAGGTCGTTTTAAGTTATTTCAACTATTTATTACACATGCACGTCAAAAGGAGCGTGAAAATGCTGATCGGAAGAAAGTCAGGCTTTTGCTCGAACGCAGCCGCTTGAGTTTGGAAAAGGGAGATTTTGAACAATTTCAAAAGGAGCGCGAGAAGGCTTATGTTTTTCTTAAGCAAAAGCTTCCGGAGGGTATGTCACTGTTTTTGGCAGCATATGTACGTCGCGCATTGATAGTTTTGAATGTTAGATAAAAGCGTAATTGCTTTAGCTATGGCAATTGGAGCATCTTACGAAAAGACAGACGAATTTGCAAAAGCATTACTTTTTTATAGTGAGGCTCTCGAAAATGTCAAGCTTGAAAAGCGCATTCTGCAATGTGAGAACCTTCGTATCTTGCTACTCGATCGACTTGGACAATGTTGCAAAAATATGTAGGTCGATTTTTCCACTAGGTTCTGCTCTATTGACTCGTGGAGTTGTGTTGATCCAGCGGTAACACAGATTCAGCGGAGAAGCATTTCGAAAATGCCGTTAAAGTGTATGAGCAATTAAAGGCTGAACTCTCGCTTGCATCCGAATCCGAATACGACACAAGCGCGCTCGCAAAGCTTGACAAAAGCATTTTAAACGTATTACTGCATTATGTTGTGCTTCTGGTAATGCTACAACGTCCAGACGATGCTTCTCGTGCTCGTCAACGATTGACTACGATTGCCCGTGCGTCTCCACAGCTACGTGGACAGGTGGCAAAAATTGATTGTCAAGTCGAAGATCACATCGCACTCGAGAAGATTCGGATGGAACGTAAGCTTATGGAAGCGAAAGGAGATGAGAAGTGCGATTTGGTATAAATTCTAACCTGAGTGAGCATTGAGCAGAAATCGATCGAAGACAATCAATACTTAGTTGGTTTAGTATGTGGTGTGAAGAGGTATGTGGAATCTAAGTGGCAAGATTGCCTCAAAAAACTGTCGAGGCTTTTTAATATACATTTTACACTAGTTTTCACATAGGCCTTGCGAGTACATTTGGATATGACGACTTCAGTCAGTGTTAAATACGATACACTCCGCGAGGAAATTTGGAATTTAAACATCCTTACACAGTGACTGAATTCGCAATTGTTCGTTTTTGCGCAGCTTGTTAAGGCCTAGCATTTCAGTGAGAAGTTACGTCAAAATATGCATTTTGGATCAAGCTACAACAAGGGGCTTTGATAATTTGTGCGTCGGTAAAATGTACATGGCAACTTCTTTGCATCACCAAAATCCGAGTTTGTCTTATCTAACTTGATTTGAGACGAATAAGCACGAAGCAAGCATAGGTAATTGACAACGTTATCTATCTACCTTCAAGCCGACTTGTACTTTAACACTTGAGGTCGCCAACTAACGACATTTTTGTCCTCCTTATTTGTAAAAAAGTCCGCGGGGCAAGGGCTTGTGAAGCTCATGCGCTCGTTCGTGACTGGATGTGTGAACGACAGCTTCTCAGCATGTAAGCAGAGACGCGATGCACGATGATACACCAAGTCTGGTGAGTACAATGAGTCGCCTAATATAGGATGTTCTAGATACTGCATATGTAGTCGAAGCTGGTGGGTTTTACCAGTGACTGGCTTCAGCTTCACAATTGTAAACTTTTGCTCGTCTTCGTTGTTAAATCCACTGGCCTCAACTGCTCTCGACTGCACAAAATATTCTGTGACAGACCAAAGGGAACTTGATGGGTTAACTTTGCGATTCCTTATAACGTGTTGAACCAGTGGCTGAGTAGGGTGCTTCTCCATGGGAACCCGTACGCATCTCTGCGAGGTCCAATTTTCTTTTTCTTCGTCCATCCACCCAAGAACGCGCGCAACGTAATATTTTTCAACGGATCTTGACCTAAATTGCGCATTTAAACTCTGTGCTGCAGACTTGGACAGAGCGACAACGAGCAAACCCGATGTCTCCTGGTCCAGACGGTGGACCATACGCGCTTCCGGATACACTGTGGCGATACATCGATGAACTGAAGCTGGGGCATCTGAGTCGGTGCCATCAACGCTAAGCATATTGGCGACTTTGTCAACCACAATCACCGCGTCATCACGAAAGATGACTTTCAGTGGAGCCAATTTAGCCGACAAGCATTTGTCGACTGCATATACATTGTTATATCCAGCAAGCTCACAAATTTGCACTAAGATCCGATCGTTAATTGCACCCAGAGCAAGATCTTCCCCCTCAGGAAGCCAAACGCGTACGACATAGCGATAGGCTCGACGAGATAGCTCGAGTTTAAGTTTGATCACACAAAGTTCAGCAAATTTTTGTGGACTGTCGATGGCCGAAACACCTTTTGATTCCGACGATGACTCCTCGTCATTGGTTACAATATTTGCGTGTTGATAGCAAAAATATAGTCGAAGTGCTATGTCGGAGCTATACACACTTCCGAGAGGCTGCAGTCTGGGCATCCGCTTGACCTTATGATATCTGTGAGGGTAACTGACATTGCCTCGGAAGACAGACAACTTCGACGTGCTAGAAGATAATTGCACTGTATTTGATAGTGTGGCAATTAATTGATCCAGTTCTTGGGCTGCATCAGCTGACATCGCATCCGTGACGCGCTTGCGCTTTTTTGCATGCATATTTGAGCCTGAAGTATTGCAATAAATTAATACTTGGAGCAAATAGAATAATTTTACCTCCATTTTCCACCAAGACCTAGCATATAAACGTACAGCAAGTAATGATGCATTTTGGCCTGTAAATTGTTTGTTCGCTGGAATAACATGTCGGTGATGGTGAGAATTTTGTGTCCAAGCAACTTTATCTATCGACGTCATGTCCACCATGGTGGCTTAACGCGTCTGCTTGGCAGGAGTTCCAAATAGTGGGTTCACGCTGTAAAGGTGTCAACTTCGCCGTCACGAAGTTGAGTAACTCATTCATCCACATTGCTCATTGCCAAAGCTCCCCACTCAAGGCAAGCCTTACATGATAAATCAAGGCAGAAATTTCAATAATTAATCATTTGCGTGAGAAATTAACTCATCAAAGAGAAATTGAGGGATGACCTCGTTGTTAGTAGTACCTTGTACACAACCACCTTACAGAATCACGAAATTCGGATTTCCACATTCTTGTAATTGTAGCAGAGCAAATAAAACACCTCGTGACCTAAAAGACTCTCGGTTACGCTCCTGGATGAAGCGTGGATATGAACTTCTCTCTCTGTGTTTGTTAACACATATTCTAGGAGTCAAAGCGCTTAAGCGATGTACATGGCACACCGTGCACTTGGTATCACTCATAGTCGCTCCCGCGAACAAGTCGGGTAAGAACTGGATTTTCATCCCAGATAGAGCCGAGTTGTTCAATTGCCAGCCTTTAAGACAGCTAGAGGTGCTTAAGATAGCTTCTGTGTATTGCTGGTAAGGAAGTTGGTGGACCAAGGACAAGATGCGCTCAATTGTTTGCCTGTAGGGGTCCGCCAGCCATGATAATGCGCTGGTGTGATGCATTCAAGAGAGCTCCGACCGGAATTCGGTGGGGGCACAAATGGTAAACAGCGAAAGGTCGCTTAATTCGAGCGTCCAGCCAGGGACGAAACTTGCGTTTTTCTCTGGACCAGAAACGTTAAGATGATAACCAATCTGGCTATGCTCCAGACAGAGCAACCGCGAGTCGCGGTTGCGTCGTCCCAGATAGGAATACGCGCACAATAAGGCACACGATAGATAGTACATTTGTGAACAAGTTGTTCTAAGAACGGGATGAACCGAAGCAGATTATGGTGCGCTAATTATTTCTTTAGCGTCCTCGCTGCAAGCGCAATCAAAGACGTCTACTTTTTTGCAGTCGCACATTCTACGTAGTAGTAAGATGATTTTTCACGGCTTTGCACTAGGACAACTAAGAATATCTGTGAGTACAGTATACGTTGCACCGTGCAACGGGGACATGAGTGAAGGTATTGAAAGCTCTACTGATATTTAATTATGAAGGACTTCGACAGCATGAATTTGTCCTAGACCTGGATAAATGTTCATCGTAGATGTTGTAACGGGTTTACACGTACGCAGAGTGTAACGGGGTGACACATACCCTATTAAGCAGGAGTGGGCACACAAGATGGTGTGACCGTACAAGGTGTGGATTACACAAGTTGGTTTAATCACACAATGGTGTAGCTACACCGTAACAAGAAGCCACTACGTCGCGGGACTGCCAAGAGGAGAAATAGTTCCGCTGCCGAGCAGCGTTCAATCACCCAAAAGTGTTTTGTCTGTTGAGACACCTGTCACCTTCGGACTGGTTGTCCCCTGCGCAAAGCGCGCAAAGGTTCACCAAAACCGAAGTCCGCTTCTTACCAGGTTTGTCGCGGGGACACGACAAAATTCAGTACGCGCAGGGCGCCCTACTGGGGAAGAACCGAGTTATGTTGAGCCTCAACGAGGTAGAGGGCAGCAGGGCCCAGCCCCAAAGAGCTCCGTGCTCTTGAACACGGAACATGTATTGAAGTCGGGCTTGCTAGCTGTAGAGGCGACTGTAAAGGGCTTTGAGAAACCGTGGAATGTCCTTATCGATTTCGAAGGGTCTGGCAATTATGCTGGACGCTTAACGGTCGAAGAAAGTCAGCTGTATGCTGAGGCGCTGATAGCGCGGTTGAGTGACATCGTCACTGTCCACTTAGCGACGAAGACATGTGTCGCTGTGCCGAGGGTCCCTTTGAACCTCTGTGTGAAGTTATTTGACTTCGGTAGCGTGAAACACTGCTTAGTCTTAGACTTGGAGTCAAGTGATGATCTTATCCTTGGTATGGCATGGTTGGAACACCATGAGCCATGAATCGATTGGACGTCGAAGACCTTGGGCGCTATGCGCACGTAGCTGTGGTGAGTCATGATTCTACCTCTGCTAGGAAGCAGAAATGCTATTGGCGTGGGCGCTGGACGAGGACGGTCAATGTGCTGGATATCAGAATATCCGAGCCGTTGAACACCGAAGGTGTACTGGACAAGTGTCCCGAGCATGACTCGCGAACTGAACGTGGAGTGGCACGAAACCCACTGCGCACTGCTCAAGTATCAAAGCAGTCGCTACATGCCAGGAGTGGCATGTTCGGACGAGGTCCGAGGCATCCTGGGCAAGGTCCCTCTGATGCGCGTAGAGTGGGACGCTATCTGCTGGACAAAAACTGCGAAAATAGCAGCTCTTCGTCAAATGTTGTCAATAACATCAAGGTTCTGATGGGGCAGGGAGTAGGGACGCTGGACGACGCAGAATGCGTGTTCCCACTGCTTTCAACGAGCCGTACAACCTTTAAGGGAGAAGCCGGCGATGCTGTATGGTATCTGCAAGCCGCAGGGCGTCGACCCTGACCCACGGTGTGTCTACCGTAGACGATGGCGCACAGCTATATACCGTTGTCAAAGGTATGACGGGGGGGAAAGACGGCGACGTCACCCTCGAGGCTATTCCCGCGGTAGATGCTCTTCTAAAGCTGGACGAGACGTCCTTCGAAGAGTTTGACGTTGTCTTGAAGGCAGGCGATTTAGCCGAGGTGGTCATAATACGACCGAACGATGAGATTTACTCGTCGTCGCTTCTGGGTGAAGCTGTCTTGAAGAAAAGAGGGTGCTGAGCGCACGAAGTTCAATTTCAATCCTAAAGGATCCCTCGGACCCGTGGTACTCTTTGGTGAAGGAATTTCTAGGCTTTGACCCCAAAGACCGTCGTCGGTCTTACCTCCGGGCCGAGGTGTGCGTCATGAGATCGACCTTGTTCCGGAAACCAAATACTACATCACACACCAAAAGCCCCTGCCCAAAGAGCAGTGCGACGTCATTGACGCCTTCTTCTCTGCAAAGCACGACGCAGGAATGGTACGTGAGAGCAAGTCTTCCCATTCGACACCCACGTTTTGTGTCCGGAAGCCGAACGGCAAGCAACGTATCGCTTACGTTTACAATACGCTAAATGCTGACACCATTTTGCCACAGACGTCGATGATGCTCTCCGTAACAGTATGGCTGGCTATACAAAGTACTCGCACTCGACTTGGTCGATGGGTATTACCAATTGCTCATGATAGTGAGTGATATTCCGCTGACAGCGGTGAGTTATCCGAGCGGGATGCTCTGGGAGTGGCTGGTGATGCCTCAAGGGCTTTTAAATGCGCCAGCAACATTTGATCGTCTTGTGACGCAATTGTTCAGGCCTCACCAGGCTTATGCTCAAACATACTTCGATGACATCTTCGTCCACTGTCGTGAGGGGTACAGGAGAACAGATGAGGAAAACACACATCGTCCATTTGAGAGCGGTTCTCGAGTTCATGCGCACAAATAAGTTGTATGCTAATGTAGACAAGTGCATCTTCGGCGCCGAAGAAATCCCTTATTAGGGAATTTCATCGGCAAGCGAGGCCTTCGAGCGGATCCCGCTAAGGTCAAGGTCATTGTGGACTGGTCGGTTCCAAACAACCAAAACGATTTGCGCAAGTTATGCGGAAATGGCATGGCCATTGTCGAATCTCCTTAAGAAGGACACAGAATTGTGTTGGGACACCGAGCATCGGGGAGTTTTAACAGGCTCAAAAACAGTCTCCTTCATGCACCAAAAATGGCGCTGCCAGATCTCGAGCGTCATTTTAGTGTCGTCTGTGACGCTTCGGACTTTGCCATCAACTTTCCACTGCTGCAAGCAGACACCGAGGGGCGAGATCGGGTGATCGCGTTCGAATCTCGCCAGCTTAAGGCTGTGGTGAAGAACTACCCAGTCCACAGTAATTGCCATGAAGTTTGCACTTATCAAGTTCAGGTTTCACCAGCTTGGCTCGAAGCCGTTTGTGATCTACACAGCTCATGAGTCACTACGCACTGCGAATAAATCGCCTCACCTCTCGCAGAGATGACCAGGTGGCTCTTCTTTTTCGCATAATATATCTTCGATGTAAAAAGGCTTTGGCTAATGCGTTGTCGCGCAAATCGGATTATGAGCTTGCTCATGTCACGACGGTGACGTCGTCAGTGACGGATTTAATCCGCGCCCATACGCGGGTGATGGTATGTGTGTAGCGCTGCTACAGACTCTCGAGAGCAAGGAGTTTGGAAACTCGGACAAAAAATTGTCGGTGCGATTGCGCGCACGGGTACACCGATATTCGCTGAATAACGATTCACCGTATTATAGCACCGATTCGACTGATACGCCACGAATTGTGGCTCCTCGCAATAAGGATTCGAAATACCGTATCCACTATGAGGCCCGTGACACCTCACTCAGTGGTCATCTCGGTTTTGAGAAGACGTACAACTCTGTGAGTTGCCACTACTGGTGGCCCAATCTGTACAAATGGACGAGCACATGTGTGCGCACGTATGATACGTGTCAACGCGTGAAATTATCTCCGAATGCGACGGCGCCGCTGGCCAGTTTACCGGTACCCTCCAAGTGTTCGCAGTTCATAAGAATAGACTTTGTGTTAGGTCTGTCGAAAGACTCGGCGGGCAACACGGTTGTGGTAGTCTTGCGGGCCGTTTGAGCAAGATGGCTCATCTTGCGGCAGTGCCGGACACCATCGGCGGTGTGGGTACAGCGACGCTGTTTGTGAGTCGTGTCTTTTGACAACATGTACTCCCGGATTCAACTGTCTCTGACAGAGACCCACACTTCACTGTGATGTTTTGGTCGACAATCTTCAGTGTGCCAAGTTGACTATGTCAACAGCGCACCATTTGCAGACCGATGGTCAAAATGGGCGCGTCAATCGCGTCGTTAAAGACGTTCCTTGCAGCGTCTACGCTGAGATGCTGGAGCGCTGGAGCGCGATGCTGCCACTTGTAAGGTTTGCTCTGAGCAATGTGGTGCATGCGTCTACCTGCTCACGCCTGTCTACGTGGATGAGCTTGTTATTCCTCGCGACCCGCTGACGCCGCCATCCCATGGCTGGGAAGGGAATAGTCGAGCGACTAACTGATGTCAGATACTTCACTATCCGTAAAGAGGTCGATGACTTTCTGGCTACCAGACTGGGTGTCCTACGACACGTTCGCGACGTGATGGCTGAAAGCCAAGACATGCAGAAAGGATATGCAGACAGAAGAAGCAATAGATATGTTGAAAACGTTGAGCTCGGAAACCTAATTAAAATTGAATGCTACTGACCTTCCTAAACATTCAGTCTCTGCCTGGTTAAGTCGAAGTTCTCTCCACGGTGTATCGGACCTGTGCCAGAAAAATTATATTCTAAAGGTGCTGCATTGGCAAGCATGTTCCGTGGGTAGGCTTAACAAAGAAGAGTCATAGTAGAATAGCCAGTGTCACTATCCCAATAAAATTAAATTGTTGATTTGGCCTGGCCTGCCCCTTAAAGGGCATAGATTCTCATTACACCTTTTTCAAAAGAAAACCCAATGAGGTTGGTGTGCGGCTAAAAAAATAAATCTGAATTTCTATCATACCGTTAGCATACTTTGCTGTGAATCGCACATACTGGTAAAAAATTCATACGAATAGATTAGCAAGGAACCGGATTATATTTTTTTTCTGTTAGTAGTGTTGCTGACGGCAGCGACATGAGCCGCTTGCTTAAACGATCCACATATTACACGATCCTGGCGTTGCCAAACGTTCTCTTCAATTCTGCCGGGACCAGTCGACGGACCACACATCTTACAAGCTCCTTCGTATACTGCCAGACGGCGCCGACGCACGAACCCGTTGATACGTGCTCGTAAAAGTGCTTACCCACTCGTACATTCTTGGCCCACAGTGTATTGCGCAGACTACTTCATATGCATTTTCCCGATAGTAGTGTCATCCTACCGAGGTATTGTGTGCCTCATATCAATTTCGAACTTGAGGTCCCAATCGTGAGGTACCGTCACATTGTGTTTCAAGCAGGACCCTGCAAAAGTTATACCTTGAAACAATAAGCAGCAAGAAAGCCCTTTTCTCCCAAAGCTTTAACCTTGATTGGGTTTGCGGTACGTCAAGCTTTTTCAAAGTGCGACGTAACCATTGTGACATGTGACAAATCATTGCCTGGACGACCCAAAAGCGCGTCAACCAGAAAGCATTTATGTTCGAGCTTGTAAATTATCTTAAAATTGGTTAACTATCTTGCCAATTTCGCTGCGCTGAACGACGCATTCTCTGTCTAAAGTAGAAATTACCTCTCAGTAAGCAGGTTTTTTCCGGGTAAGTCAAGGTCCTATTTGCTAATACACTCACATCCACGATTTTAATAGGCAAATTTGAAATCAGTGACGCTAATATGGCGATAGGCACACAAAGCGTCACGGACAACTAAAACTATTCGATTTGGACCCTGGCGATGAGCAGACCACGATAAGCCCTCTACACATCGATGGCCAGACGGAACACTTTGATCGCGTGGTTAAGAGGCTTCTCCATAGCAGAAAGTCAGTGCACAGTGGTGGAGGTGATCCTTTAAAGCACAAACTAAAAGCAACCGTGAGGCCGAAGCAACACGTTCCCACTCAGCGTGTCAAACCAAATTACGCGAAAGATATCTCAACCAGCCTCACATTATAATTTATAAACAATTTGGCTGACAGCTTAAAGAAGCAGTTTCGATCTTGGCGAAAGAAGTGTCGTAAAAACTGATTGCCTTGTGAGTATCGATATTTCGAAAAGTCTGAGCGTCATGTGAGAAAGGTATTGTCTCTAAGGTCTGTCAAAGGGAGACAAAACACGCGTAAGCTTGTTGTATGTGATCATGTCATAAACACACATGTTGTGTTTGCAGTATTGTAAGACTAATTCGCCCCTTTGGACACTTATGGCCTCAGCCGGAAATGGAGCTCATATTTTCTGTGAATATTAAATTTGCTGTGATTATGTGGGTAGTGTCACGACCTACTTGAACGTTGAACGCCTTTTCGAGAGAGTGACAGCGGCCTTCAATTTCCGAATTAACTTCTGAATTAGTTTGACAATTTGATTTAAGTCGCTTGGAGTGCCTTAGAGCAGTCGGTCGGATCTTGCAGCTATGCTTGAGCGGCTGAAGGCTCACTTGACTTCCTTTAAAACACGACGCGCCGCCTAAATATTTAGGAGCTTGTGGGGGTGAGCCATACAAAGTTTGCCCTCACGAGCTCTACCCGTTAATTTTGAAAAAAAATGAGTTTTTTGCAATGCTAACTTTCTAACTTTCGCAACGTCCATTTTGCGACGTCAGTATCGAGATGGACATTCGCCCGCACCATCACTTGATAGCTGTCAAAAATTGGCATACCCATCGGTCTGTCGGTATAGCTATCGACCATGACTCGAAATTGTAACAATGTCGGGTCACACTCGCTAGTGGTAAGCTCTTTGCCCTACAAAATCTTGTTATTAACCTGGGGAAAGTCCCAGGCGCCGACAATGACAAAACAGTCTTTCGAGGCTGGATTGCAACCTCATGTAGATCTTTTGGGAATGAGAGTAACCTTCCCAGTTTACCGGATACTGGCCAAACTTCTGGTAAACAGTGGTTCATACTTTAATCTGCGCTACTCAACAAAAATTGCTTGTAGAGCTGGAAACCGGGTACAGCGACATGCTATCTTCATCTAACGCTTAAAAGCTGTCATATACGCTCCGGCACTGTCACTATAACATGAGTACAGACCTCATAAAAGGCAATAATTATTCTAACCACTGATGACCCAGACGTAAGCAGGACCCCTAAAAGTCATTAACCTGTTTTGTGCAAAAGCGCTTTATAAGCGAGGTTTGAGCGCGCGCTCTTGTCCTCGATTAAACTGGACGTCCACACAACAGTGCATAGGGGGGTGCTGTGTCGCTGCGAATAACTTCTTATAGATCGAATCCGAACTCTCGACGAGGTGTGGTCCAGAGCGATTTCAATGTTTTCGATGCGACTGTTGCGAGTGCATCAAATAGTTTGGTTTATGCGAAGGATCCAGCTCAGGAGTAATCGTAGTGATACTAGCTGCAGGGTGGTTATCCATTTCATATAAGCGCCTTGGTTTGCGCACACCACGTAGTGAATAGGCAGAACGTAAAAACGCCAACAGCCTCTGTGATGTTTACCGTGAACTGGGAACTGCATTTCCGTATAATTGTCGACGAAAGCCCTAGGTTGTGAACTTTACAATTGTCTCTATTTAAAACGATATTATTCAGGCGCATACATTCGAGCCTTGGCGTGGATGTCACAGTCGACCCCAGCCAATATATCCGAAACATGTCCATGCAAATGTACAATGCGATTTTAATGGTTGTGCCACCAGACGACTGAGCGTTGCTGATGCGTTTAGCTGTTCGAATAACATAAGCATCTGCTATCACCACATTTACATGTAGCAATAAGAAGAATGTCACTCACTCTCATGAGCCAAACATAGCTCTCTTGACATAACGAGGGGCGCCGAACAAGTTTCAACCGACCAGGACACTGTGCAAAAAAATCTTATTTAAAAAATTAGGTGTGTGCCAAAATGCGTCTGTTTTTATCTTTAACATTTGAGTACTTTTCACTAGTCAGGAGTGTAATGTCGAAAGGGATTTTTTATCTCCCGGCAAAATCAATTCGTGCTTCGCACTGTTTTCTCAGTGGAAGCCATTGATGTAAGGCGAATTTTGTGGTTCTAGAAGCCACGTCAATCGTATAACGTTTTCCCTTATTAAAAAATAATAGTCGCGGCGGGTCTCTTGTCACCACTTCAAAATAATTTCATAATCGACTATAAGGGGGGTTGTAGGACCCCAATGGGTTCCTCATTGTTTTCTCAGTGCGCTTCAAGCTTCTCCAATCCATTTCGTACGACGATCCCACCACTTTGCATACTTTTGCCAGTACCAACCGACAAATTCACCATCAAACAATGTTTTGCTTACATTGTTTTTAAATGATCCTCAAGTCTCTACGAAGGCTATAGCTAGGGCAGGGATGAGAACCTAGTATTCTATTGGGCACCCACAATTACCCTACTACGACAGGATATCTTATCTCACCACTACCCCGGGACGCCTCCATGCCGCAAGGGTGGACACGTCACTTGGTGTTGCTGATGCGGAAGTGCTGCAACATGACATGGATCAATTATCTCAGCGTCTTTTTGGACTCATAGCCTAGATGTGTCCTGGAATCTTCGGAACGTATTCACACCTCAACAAATCTTATAGATCGCGGCACAAAGTCGCCGCTTTCTGCTTTTAAGTAACCTCTAAAAGTAGCTGCTCATTGCTGTTAATAAAAGAATTGCACCCAAGAAATTACGCCATGTGTAACGGGGTTACACACACCCTGGTAATAGATGTGTGTGTCACACGATATGGGCATGGTGTGACCACACCCAAACAAGAATACGGTACGGGGCTGGATAGCCAGTAGTTATACATGTATTTGGATTTTACTATACATATTTAGGAAAATCTCTGCATTTAAAGTTAGGTGGCTTGCCGCAGATAAAAATAAGTAAAGTCAGTTTCTGAATCTGAACCGAAGAGTCAATTATCCTTGGGTTAAGGTTGTAGACACTCTTGGAATAAGCGGATTGCGATCCGCTAAACTCGTACTTGTTCTAAGTATAGAGCGAAAGGTCGG